GCGCATAGCCGTGCTTCATTTGGTAATGCGTGCATTTCGTGGCAGAAGTCGCAGCACACTTATTTTGTCGTGCCTTAATGTCACTGCTTGAGCCTCAGAAGGCCGAGCCGACCAAATACGAAGTATTCCGGTCTCTTTAGCGCATTTTTTCGGTGTTGAAAAAGTTTGTTCTACATGTCTAGTCTATGTGTTTTCTGGTTAGTGATATAGCTTTAAAGATGTAGGAGATATAAATTACTGGTTTTCGATAATGTTTTTAATCGATAACAAAATACGGAGCTAGTTATCGATGTTTAAAAAAACTCGATATGCGCGTGCTCTACACGGACTTAAGAAAAAAAGTCTCTAGCTCTTATATCTTCTGAGATCGACGCGTTCAAACACACGGACAGACGGACGGACAGAGCTAAATCAACTCAGCTCGTCGTCTGCTACGCCTCCTTCTGCCTGTTACATACATTTAACAAAACCATTATACCCTGATTTCCCATTGAAAATGGGTTCAGGGTATAATTAAAAGTTTAGATCATAGATCACAAATAATAACTTCATCAGTGATGCCGGTAGGCTGTCTTGGGGAAAATGTGTCTGAAGCCAATAAAATTTTACAAGCATGACTGGCTATTGCATGCTCGACACAATGTCATAGAGCTCTTAGATACGCCCCATTTTGATACCCTCTCAAATATTCAACATTTAACTGATGATTACAGTTGTAATGACGATTGTGATGATGCTGATATGGATGATATTAATCGATATGCATTTGAATAATATGTACTAATTTTACAATAAATTGTTCGAATGAGCTTCATCGTCAAATATATAAATTAAGATCTGTTTTTAAGTATCATTTAATGAAGTCATGAATTCCTTTACTAGCTTATTAAATAAGAGATTCAAAAATATCATGCTTATTAAAAATTGTTGCACTTTTTTTAAAGCTTTTACAATTTCATTTGAGATTACGTATACACTTAGTTCGGCAATAATGAAGCAATCGACAACTTCAATAGATGCAAACAGCTATATTAACGCAAACAAGTAAGAAGGTTCCAGTCGAGACTGCTCGATTAGGAGATACCATGAACCCTTCAATCTGATATTCTAATCATTCTGCACTTCTTTTATGCACACATACAGACACATGCATCAACACGCAGGACTGCGCTTGGGCTGCACTGCAGTGTGGGCAATAGTATAAGAATTTATTTCTTGAATAATTTGTTTTGTAGACGGACAATCTTAATGAAAGAGAGCGTGATTATATGGCTAAAATGTGTGTACATTCCCAAGCACATGTCTCTAGTACTTGAAATACAAATTGGGGGAAAGGGGGCGTGGTATCCGAAATCTATAAATTACAAAATATAACTTCTGAGATCGACGCACTCATACAATGGACGGACAGACGGACAGGGCTATATCGATTCAGCTCGTCGTCTTGATCAAAAATATATATACTTTATGGGGTCTGCGATGATTCCTTTTGCCTGTTACATACATTTCAACACAACCATTGTACTCTGATTTCCCATTTTTAATAGGTTCAGGGTATAACAAGTAAGAAAGTACTCTGAACAAAACTAATTAAAACGTTAAAATTTTAATTTGTATATATTTAACAAGTAAGAAAACTCTAGTCGAGAGTGCTCGACTAGATACTACTCTGAACCAAACTAATGAAAATGCACATTTAGTATGGCTAAAATTTTAATTTCGATGTATTTAAAAATATAAATGAAATAGAAAACTCGTTTAATTAAATATATAAATATTTTGAAGCAATTAAAAAAATTAACATCAGTTGCTCGCTCGGGGTTCTATCCGGAGACTTCTCGATCAAGCGTCATGTCCCTACTTACTAGACCACCTTACTTTTCCAAGCTGCTTTGGCAAAACTGAAATAGATTCACTGCTGCAGCGCCATCTAGCAAAACTAAACCAAACTAAATGCTGATGTGATTCTAAGAATCTGCTAAAATAACCAAACTAATAAAAACGCACCTTTAGTATGGTAAAAATTTCAATTTGTTTGTA